AACAGAGGAATCTCAGATGGCTGAGAAACACCTAAAGAAATGTTCAAAGTGTGTAGTGATCAGAGAAAAGCAAATAAAAACCACCGTGAGATTCCACCTTACACAAATAAATATGGCTAAGATCAAAACCTCAGGCAAGAGCACATGTTGGTGAGGATGTGGAGAAAGAAAGAGGAACACTCCTCCATTCCTGGTGGGATTGCAAACTGGTACAACCACTCCGGAAATCAGTCTGGAAGTTCCTCAGAAAATTAGAAATAAATCTATCTGAAAACCCAGCAATACCAATCTTGGCAATATACCCAAAAATGCCCCACCATGATACAAGGTCATGTGTTCCACTATGTTCATAGTGGCCCTGTTTATGATAGCCAGAAACTGAAAACAACCTTGATATCCCACAACAGAAGGATGGACACAGAAAATGGGGTTCATTTGCAAAGAAGGAGGACATCCTGAATTTTGCAGGCAAATGGATGAAACTAGAAAATATCATCCTGAGTGATATAACTTAGACCCAAAAAGTTATGCATGGTATGTATTCAGTAATATGTGGATATTAGCCAAAAAAAGTGCTGAACACCCAAATTACAGCCCAGGGAACTCACAAATGTCAACAAGCTTAAGGGGCTAAGTGAGGATGCTTCAGTCCCACTTAGGAAGGAGGAGAAAGCAACCAAAGGGGGGAGGACCTGAGAGGAAAATGAGATGGGTGGGCAGAGAGAACATGATCTGGTATTGTGTTGGGGAACAGGACTGAAATCCCTGAGGGCCAGCAGAAAGAATGGAAATGTTCAAGCTTGGGAGTTAGGAGGTTGTGGGGACTCTCCAGAAGGTACCAGAGGCTTGGGATGTGAGAGATTCTAAGGACTCAAAGAGAGGGACCATAGATGAAACACCCTACATTGGGGAGAGGGAAATTGTCGAGCCCACCTCCCACAGAAAAATGGCATCAAGTGAGGGATGGGGTTGTTATCCAATAGTCAATTCTCTGACCCATAATTGTTCCTGTCTGAAATAACTTCTAGGATGGAAACGGAGAGGAACCTGAGGAAAAAAAGTCCCAGGGACAGGCTCATCAACAAGACCAACTTGGGATCCAGATAAAGGGAGGCCCCAAGCCCTGACTCTATTACTGAGGCTATGGAGAACTCATAAAAAAGGGACCTATCATGACTTCCCTCCGATAAACCTAACAAGCAGCTGAAAGAGTCAGATACAGATAGCTGCACCCAGCTAAAGCGCAGAAGTTGCTGACCCCCGTGGTTGAATTGGGGGAAAGCTAGAAGAAGCTGAGGAGGAAGGTGACCCTGTAGGAGGACCAGCAGTCTTAATTAACCTAGAACCCTGAGATCTCTCAGATACTGGAACACCAACCAGGCAGCTTACACCAGCTGATATGAGGCAGCCCAACACACATACAGAAAAGGACTGCCAGGTCTGACGTGAATCATAGAAGATGCATCTAACCCTCAAGAGACTTGAGGCCCAAGAGACTTTAGAGGTCTGTGGGGTGGGGTTAGGAATAGGGACATCCTCATGGAGACAGAGGGGTGGGGAGGAGGTACGGGATGTGGAACTGTTGGAGGGCAAACCAGAAGGGAAATAAGATCTGAAGTTATAAATAAATAAACAAACAAACAAACAAATAGGACTCATGGACTATGACCCACCAGTTACAGCTGGAGAGTAGACTGGAAGGGGAATGAAATCTGGAGTTATAAATAAATAAATAAATAAATAACCTCATGTAATATGACCCTCCAGTTAGCACAACCACCATTGGTATACCTTGGTTAAGGCAAAGTCCCAAGGTCTCTGTCCTGAAGATTTCATGCTCTTATGGAGTTCTGCTCTGCTTGCTATCACCACTTCCCTCTTAATCTAAGAATTGTATGAAATCTAAAAGGGGCTTCCAGCACCTCATTCATTATTACTGACACTCCAATTTATAATGCTTGATCGTTTTCAGGCCTTGCTGCTGAAGCAGAGTGATAATTCAGTCACTCCAGGAAAGAACTTAGAGATTTTGGTTGTCAGCAATGACCACCTCCCTTAGAAAGCATTTGGAAAAATAGAATTGTTAATGAAACTAGGTAAATGTGTCTTTGCTACTGGCTCTGATATAGGAAATCTTAAGGAACAATTTGAATTTCTGAACAGCACAATTTGATTAGTCAACCTAGGGTTTTTTTTTTAAGGGCACACAACAAGAAAAGTGGCAGTACTGGCTGGTGCTAACTGAGGCTGACCAGTGATAATTGATTTTTTATACCCATTTTGCCCTCAGCTTTGTGATATGATTTAATAATAAGTGGTGATTAGTACATTTGCATTCAGAAGACTTAAATTAATTATGACAGGTTTTTAAATAAAAGTTTAGATGTGTGATTCTTTTAAGATACTTAGAAGGTTACTTTTAAAGATAAATAATAAAATATTCACTCCTTTCTTTGTGATTTCAGATTGCTGCCTGCCAGTAAGAGAAACTGTCTGAGAAAAATACCTTGATTGCTTACACCTTTTTAATCTATAAGAAGTTGTTTGTTTCCTTTATCTGTACTATGTAATATTATTTCTGTAAAGGTATTGGGAAAATGGGGTTTTTCATACGCATTCAGTAGAAGAGAACTAAAAAATAATCTTATACTACCCGAAAGACCTTTCTGGACAATATAAGCCATGGGAGAAAGAATAAAGTGGTTGGAACATTGTTTTTCCACCTATCAACTATGTGTATGTATGTACATGTGTAAAGTTTGTGTGAGAGTATGTTGAAAATCATTCTTGCCACAATCCAAAAATATGTTTGTGTGTGCGTGTGTGTAAAGTTTATGTGAGAGTGTGTTGGAACTTTGTTCTATCCATCGTATCTATACGTATGTATATATGTAAAGCTTGATTGGGTATGTGTTGGAGCTTGCATCTTCTATGAAATGTGTGTATATATGTATGTATATTATGTGTGAAATGCTTGAAGCCTACTTGCTGGAACTTTGTTCCTTCTACACACCAGTATGTGCATATATATACATATATATATATATATGTATTTATATGTACATATGTGTATATGTTTGTATAGTGTATACTTGAGATGTTTGGAGCCTGCTTTTCAGAGCATTGATCCAGTCTTCTAATGTGAATATGTGTGTATTTGTCTGTCTGTCTGTTTGTATGTTTGTTGCTGGACCTTGTCATTATTCAACCATTCTGTGTGTGTTTTCTGTGTGTGTTTCTATGTGTGTGTGTGTGTGCATGCTTGGTTTGTATATGTGTGTGTGTGTGTGTGCGTGTTTGGTGTATGTGTGTATGTGTGTGTATGTGTGTGTGTGAGTGTGTGTGCGCACGTGTAAGTGTGTGAATGGTTGCTGTCTTCCCTTTCACTTTGCTGACTGCTGGCTACCAGAACCATCAACCCCAGTAGATTTCTGGACCAGTCCCCATTATCTGCTCTCAGCACTGACTCCCACCAGCCACCTACGTCAAATAATTCTGTGGTGTCAAAGCTGAGTTTTGCATAGAGTCATCTAAATTGCACACAGTCAAGAGGCTGGCCAGCTAGGCTCCACACCCTCACCACTCACAAAGCTTCACCTTGCCTCAGCACTCCCTTGCTGCTCACAAAATCTTCTCCTGCCCACCTTGCTTTTTCCAGCCACCTGCCCTTTCAGAAGAGGCTACACTGGTGCCAAAATACAGCTATCCCCATTTCATAGTGGCACTCCCTAATGAAACCCCCCTCCTGGGACCAGCAAATGCAAGCTTGAGAATAGATAAAGAGCAACCACTCCCAGCACTGGTGTCACCAAGGCTGGCACTAACTCTGATGGATGTCTAGGCACTTCTCAGTGCAGGTAACCACTTGTCCTTGGGAAAAGCAGAAGACCAAACATCTTTTGGGAGATAAGCACCGTACTTTGGGGCAATTAGTGGTTCCCAGACAGCTGTGGCCATTTTGTAAAAACAATAGTCCCTGATACCACCATAACCACCAAATGAGTTTCCCTACCCAGTTGTGTGATCCCACCCACCACCTAAAAAAATGGTATTGTGTTTGACACAGATGACTTTTCTTATCACCTTCCCTGTCATGTAACCCTGAATCCCCAGAATCTGCCTGAGCCCATAGGTATGTGGTCACAATCTTGCCCTGTGGAGTGGGAACACATTGTGATCCAAATCAGGTTCATACATTAAAGACTCTTTTTTCTCACTACATCAGGTCAGAAATTCTTTGAGCTCTTCTGGGAATCTCAAGATATGGACATAACAATAGAAGAGATTATTTCAACAAGCTCTGCTTTCCCTATTGATTTTATAAGTGTGTTTTCAGTATACACTTAAAGTTGTGGATTCTTTTGTAAAATGCTTAAAGATAAACACAGTCATTTCTACCCATACCACACCCTTTCCTCTAGGTTCCTGTAATTTTGACACCATAGCAGAACATTGAAAAGCAGAATACCAGTGTAAAGTGTTTGTAATATTCTTCTACATTTTAAAAAATTTATGTAATTTTAGTTTGTATATGTGTCATTATGTGCATAAATAAATTCAGGGAAATTTGGAGCCCAGAAGAGAACATCTGATACTTTGTTGCTATTGTTACAGGTGATTGCTAGTAGAAGTTGTTGGGATTGAGTACTGAATCAGTTCCTCTCCAAGAGCAGGGAGTGATTTTAATTGCTGAGACATCAATCCATCTGCTGAAATATTCTACCAATCTATTGATGAAAATATTCCTCTCTCCTCTATGTTCATAGAAGAACTCCTCTAACTCCTAGAATGAATCAGGATTCTATTACCTCTTTCTGCAAAGAGGACAACTGTAGACTCTTGTGGATGACTATAGGAGACAATGCAGAACTCAGTAGACATGATATTGTTAGGCAAAACCATAAGAGGAAATAGTGAGAGTCATTCCAAAATATATAGCTATGGCAATGTAATCTAATATTTGGTGATTAGGAACCAACTATCCATGAGTCAATTAGAATTTATGAAATGTGAGCACGGGAAGATGATTTCTCCCTGATCATTTGAAGAGAATTTCTGTCTGGTCTAAAGAGTATTGTGTAACATTTTGGAACAAAGATGCAACCCAGCATCCCTGCACTGGAGGCCAAAATGGAGAAGATCTCAACAGCCACCACAACCTTGCCTTTAGTGCTATGGTAAACAGGGAGGAAAGTGACCCAGACACTGCAGAACAACAGCATGCTGAATGTCATAGACTTGGCTTCATTGAAGGCACAAGGCAGGTTTCTGGAAAGGAAAGCCAGAGTGAAGCTCCCAAAGGCCAGGCAAGCCAGGTATGCCAGGACACAGTAAAAAGCAGTGACTGAACCCTTATTGCAAATGATGATGATGTGGCCATGCTCTGACCGGGCATCAATGTCAACAGAAGGAGGGGAAGATCCGAGCCAGACTGCACAGACAATAACTTGGATGAGAGTGCAGGTGAGAATGATGTAGGTAGATACCCCTGAAACAAAAAAATGCTTCATCATTCTTTGAGGAGCTGTGATTTTGAATGCCAGTACAACAGTAATTGTTTTGGCCAGCACAGTGGAAACAGCCACAGTGAATACAAGTCCAAATGTGATTTGCTGTAGGATGCAGGTGGCTGAGTTTGGATATCCAATATAGAGGAAGGGGCAGAGGAAACAAAAGATGAGGGAGATGAGCAATATGTAGGTGAGGGTGCGATTATTGGCCTTTACAATGGGAGTAGTATGGTGCTTCACAAAGACCCCCAGAACAACAGCTGTAAATGCAGAAAAGAATAAAGCCATTAAAGAAAGTGCCATCCCCAAGGGGTCTTCATAAGCGAGAAAGATAACAGCTTTGTTAATGCAGTGATTCTGCTCCGTGTTAACATAATGGTCCTCTGGACACGGGACACACAACTCCACATCTAATGGAAAAATGAAGGTATTATTAGTGTCACTTCAGCAATTTTACTGTCAGGATATTTATTCAAGTTTATAAAAGAAGTGTTTCAACATGTGAATCTGGTTGCTCAGAATACATTCAAGGTCACTGGTACACAAAATAATTGATTCCATTTTTAATGCTTCTCATTGTTATGGTAAATAAAAACATCAAATGTTTGTCTATTTCACTATATTGTTGTGATCATTTATCCTGGGTGTATATATTTATAAGTGTGTTTACATGTAATAGTAAAACACGTTCTCATAAACATGACAGTAATTGGGTTTATATGGGTGAGGTATGAGGCTGAGAATGAGAAGTAAAGTTTATATGAATATAATATCAATGTTTGTAATGGTAAAAATAAAGAAAATCATTTCCACTTTTGTCCCCTTTTGACTGTAGTAACACCATACTCCTGAGATTTTTCATATAAAGGAGTAAAAAAAAAAAGAAAGAAAGAAAGAAAAAAGAAAAAATCTCTGTAATTCCCACCATTGTATTTATAGTAAATCTGATTGCCATTGAAATGCATTATAGGATAATTGCAATAAGGGATAATATGCTTCCAAGTTTGGAAGTGTTTTAAATGGAACAATGCTTTTATTTACAGCCATTATCATTTAATTTGTTTGAGGAAATAGGAATTTAGTCTGGTTGTGAAGAGAATGTGTTGCTCGTAGAGAGTATTTTGAGTTTGTTCTCTACAACAATGTCAGGTGTGTTCATACAGCCTTGTTGAATTACTTATGTGTACGTTTTATGTAGAACTACATACATATCAGAAAATAACAGGTAGGAGTTGTTTTCCTCCTATTATATGGGTTCTGAGGATGATCTAATGCCATCATATTTAGTGGGAAAGGATGTAACTGCTAAGCTATCTTAAAGGCCACAAAAGCCTTTAAGGACTTCCATTTAATTATATAGGATGACAAACCAATAAGGGAATAAATGCATGCATGCAAATTATATTCAGTTCATCCTAACTAAATAGTTATTTGATGAATATGGGCTATG